CCCTCGGCAAGCGAGAGACGCTTGCGAGGATTCTCTTCCTCATCGCCACCAGCTTTGGGAGCACCCTTAGCCTTGACGGCCGGACTCTCAGAGCGCACAGAGGTGATCACCTTGATCACTAGCGAGCGACTGCACGCTGTCATCTTTGTGCTCACTGGGCACTGGGCTGTGCCCTCCCACAGAGTCCGCAGGAGCATCGTGAGTGCTCTCGGACTCGGCATCGTCCTCACTGCCCGAGTTGAACTCACGTTCCACGAACCGAGGGTTCGGACGATTGTCTGAAGATGAGGGCGACGGGCTGCGGCGCTTGCTTGCGCGCTTGTTCACAGCCGCGTCACCCGAGGAAACGATCGCCTCGGAGGCCACCTGAGTAGCCTTCTTGAGTGCAGAGCCTTTGCCGTGAGGCTTAGTGCTCTTGGCTTGCGCCTTACCGGCAGCAGCCTTGGAGCGTGTCTTAGCACCGCTCTTTGCAGTGCCACAAGGCATGATAACGGTCGAAGTGGAGACCTAGCCGAAGAGCGCACAGGTTGCTGCTCGAGGCTATAACTGTGAAGTGAGCCTCCGCCGCGCTCGCGCGGCCAAGTCGATGGTTTTCGACTTTGAGAATGAGAGTTTGTGACGAGCACCTCTTCATTCTGATTGGTCGGTAAACCGAACCTAAGTGGGGGATGATGTAAAGGGGTACGTAGCCCTAAGTGTACCCTGGTTACATGAAGTGTGACACTTCACACTTCAGGAGTATGACACGTCATTCTCCGGGATATTTGGTACAAGGTACCAAGGTCGTTCAAAGCCAACCATTGGTTAAATGACATTGCATTTCTATAGGTGAACTAATAGTTTGTATTAAACCCAAACTTAACCTACCTATAAATATACTCAGTTTACGATCTACCCTATTTAGGTCACTTCGCTCTCTTTAATTAAAGAGGGGACCTGTGAACTGCCGTTCACTGAGAGTTTGTATACTCTCGGAAGATAACTTCCACTTGCGCAAGGTGCTGTGTGACCCCGTCACATTAATCATGCACACCTTAGTTTACTGAACTCAAATACTATGTGTCATAATGATTGCGTCTAGTGTACATGAACGTAGCAACATTGTATGGGGTGGGAGGTGGTGACCGCACCTCCACCACTCTGGGTCAAAATCAGTATGCAGACAGCTCCGGTAAGCTATTTTCGGGATGGAACACGCTACGCTAACCCCAACAATTTTTTTCCTTAAAATGAGGATCAATTTTGTTTTTCATTTTTTCTATCAGAGCATTTTTTATCCTCAACCCATCTCGTTTAGGATAAAAAAAGAGTGTTGGTCGGTTCAAGACACCAGCGCAACTCGTCGGCTCACCGCTCCCCCGCGCCGCGCTGGAAGCCATGTCAGACAGAGAGTCATCCGTAGACGATGTCTGCTGGTCAGACACTGACTCTGACGACGAGGACGCAACCACAGGAGCCTGGAGGTACATTGATTGCAGCCACGTTCAAGTACTGTTTGACGACGTGGAAACACTTCTGCTGGAGAAGGCGCGAGTGGAAGAGGACCAGGTTGTTAAGCGACTTCTGCAGCGAATGTTTGGTACTACGCAGCACAACACAACAAGCATCAGTATATCGCGGATTCTGTTCACGTGGTTGGATGCCACCGTTCTCTCAAAGTTACAGCAGTTTGTGAACGCGCGCTTGGATGAAGCTGTGGCAGTCACCGTTGACGAGCTCTTCGCGTTTATGGAAGTGGAGCTCTGGCTAAGCTTTTATCATGTGACCCCGTCGTTCTTTTTCGACAACGCAAATAGAAAGCAGTATCCATCAGCTACGTCCTGCATGACGTTTGACAGATATCGCTCTATTCTGGCTAGGTTAGATTTGGTTGCGAATAAAGACTAGGAAGATATGGATGACACGAAAATGTATTTGCATCTGTTAGAAGAATACTTCCACAGAAATCGGGATAACCGCAGAGGGAAATAGTTCTCTTATACATGCTTTTTGGCATTTTAGGGAATGATACCAAAATCGTCTGGAGTCGTCGTGTAAGCAAGTAAAAAGCGTTGTGAACTCGTCCATGCAGCTGGATGGATGCACAACGTCTCTAATATATTACCAATCATTTGCCAAGGGTGGTTTTGTGAGTCGAAAGCTCATAATTGGCGTTGTGCATCACGCAGATTTCGACAGTGAAATGAGTACGTGTCGAATCTGATGAGCGAACACTCTTGTTCACTCTTTTTCGAGCCGAATGTGTATACTGCTAGTCACCCATTCTACCGGATCTACAAGCCCCTACCTGGTGTGGTGTTTATCAAGAGCACTGCTAACGATGATGATGCTCTAGACAAACAAAACTAAGCGTACAGCGTCAGCTTGTCTGATTGGCAATGCTCGTGCATGCTCTTGAGTAAGGGACTACTATCGTGTCGGCACGTGCTCTACTTGTGGAGGCAGGTGATAAAAAGAAACAATTATTACGGCTAAGTTGCAACCGAGATTACTACTATCTACACTTCGATCGTCATTCGTACTTCCTAACATACCAGGCAAGGTGTCCCGCATTCGACGGATCGCGTCATCCTAACCATCCGCATGGGATGTAGAACAGAAGTTCCGCGAGGCAACCACATCGTGAATATCATTACAAGCTCAAAGAATCACCTTGATTCTGCTGTTCAACTCTGTGGTGTAGCAGATTCGAGAAATTCGCGACGTCGCGGCCCTTCAATCAAGATTGACCGCAACCCATTATCCTTTTGGCGACCTAGGTATGGCTTCCACCAACCTGGCCAAACTGCTTGCGATCTCAGGCGTGTCAAGCCTGTTCAAACCGACTGTACCTACGGGTGTCGACATTATGGGGGATTATGTGATCTCAAGGGCGAACTTGGTCTCCTTGACGACGTAATCGCCGGGATGGGAGCCAGTGATTACATTACCTGCAGGCATCCAAGGTGGCGAGCATATAGCGATAACAGCTACAAGTCTTGGCCTAAACAAAATATAACATTTCAAACAGAGTTGTTTTACTTTAATCTTGACAAGTGCTCTTCGTCTCCGCTATTCCGGGCGCGGGATTGACTTTGGCGCACTCGACAAAGCGTTACAAATATTAAAATAGAAGATCGAAGATCGAGCACCTGGATTGCTTATCTAGGACGCCCGCCAGCCCACACTCAAGTCCACCGCTAAAAAAACGGCAAGCTTGTAAAGGAAGGGGGGAAGTTGCCCACCTCAAGGATCAACAGGTTGCGATCTCACTACTACAAGATCGTCAACCGAACCCGAATCGGCGCAGCGCTTAGAAGTATCCCCGGTGCTGCCAGACATCCCACTGTCCACGTAGATAGTACAAGGGGCGCATCTAGCGAGATCACTAAAAGCGCGAGTTAGCCCAGCCACAGGAAAACGAGTTGAGCACTGAGCCTCACGAAAGATCGGAGTACCCCCTCCGCTAGTCGGCAATTTAGGAGCCGTGTACAAGAGGACCTCAGCGATCAGCGATTTTAGCAGATCTACTTTTCCACAATTATTCCAGCAAAAAGAGTTACAAGAAATAGATCGCCTTGTCGAAGGTACTCAGCGAGACCCTAGACGATAAGTTCGCGACTGTCACACCGACAAGGTTCCGACTGTGACCGACTGTGATCGACAAACTGCAAACGGAACCCCATTGCGTAGAGACCAAGAGAGCGTGACATAAGGAGGCAATATTCGATTGTGCAGGCGAAACAACGCCATATCTACTCTAAATCTGGCGAAGATGAAGAAGTTTCGAAGTTGCCAGTCCTGCCCGGCCACGCGGGAGACCGAAGGAAACACCATCAGCAAAGAAAGCCAAGAAATGCGTGAAACCGCTGGTGTTCGCCGCGATTCATCGTATGTATCTAGATGTGTAGTGCTGTCGCAGTTACTAAGTGAAGACCACACTTTAAACTCATCTGAAAAGCCTATTGATAGCTACCACCTGTTCGAAGTCGAGAAGAAAGCTAACAATCAGCCCATCGCCCACCTCAAAGCTGGATCTGAAAGAGGACGAAAATATCACTGATTCTACAAACGAATTCCTTCAAAATGTAATAAGAAATGACTACGTTGCAAAGCGAGCACAAGGGTCTCAAGGAAGTGCAATAGTAGTCGAGGTGCCAAATATTGGAGCTTCCTCGGCAGAAACTCTAAGAACGATGCTTAGCTACCATCGCGCGATCGCTGCAATTTCCGCCATCGATAATGGGTAGCAACAATTGTCTTTATCACTCTAAATCGACTCGTGGCTATAAGTCGAAGAAGACGGAAGCCCGTTGGACCTGCTAAAACAAACGCGTCGTACAGTCAAATGAGTTAGGACTTGATTTTATTTACGTACCATTGGTCCTCTTCAGTAAGCGCTTGGAACCTGGCCTGAAACAAATTAGTGACAGTTTCAGGTTTCAGGTGGAATCGCCTTCAACTTGTCATTTTTCCCCTGAAACCGCGAAAAGTTCCAACAACACGCAACATTAGTGACAAAGTTTCAGCGACTGAAGAGGTCGCTGAAACCGCGAGCTTGCAAGATCGAAGAACCATCTGTGAGCTGTAAACTTACCTGCGTGTCGAGCGCCAGTGCATTGCAGTCTACCGGCTACACTGAGTACGCATGCGTGCAATGGCGAAGGACTATACCAAGGACTGTATGCACAAGGACATCGTTGGCTGTGCGCTGCCAAGATGGTGTACTCAAATGAGAGTGCATTTATCTAGATTTAGTATTGACTTATTTGCTATTTGTATACGTATCTACTTTTGCGGTACAGCGGTGTTCTGGCGGAGGCTGCTCCCCACTTTGCGTTTTGACGCCTGCCGCTCACCAGAGAGCAGCAGAGAAGAGCAGTCTCTCCAGACACCACAGTCCTGTCGCGGCCTTTTGCCCGGCACTTACGTGTTTACGTTACTTCCTGATTAGTTTCCTAAAGTTGACATTTAAGTGTATTTACATTTAAATGGCTCATACTCTTAGAAGCGATCGACACATGGAGAACAATCCTCCCGTGACGAACCCTACGTCACCACTCCATCCACATTCCGCCTTCACAAAACGGAAGAAGAAATCGAGCGTGAAGCTGCTATTGACGCACCTCCTCCACCTGCCACCCTACCGGTGCTTGTATATAAAAGCAAGCGTTACAAGTCAGCGGCACGGCCTCAGGCAGCAGCGCGGGCGAAGACAGCAGCGCGGCCTCAGTTGGTGGCGTGGCGACTGACAGTAAGAGTGAAACTTACAGCAGCAGTTCTTTGGCGGTTGTGGCCCTAAACCTTTGCTCCCTGCTAAATTAAATGCCAAGAATTACTGTTTTTTAATGATTGCGGATCGACATTAAATAGCTGCGAAAAGTGACTTTTAAAACTTTTTAAGATTTCAGGCTCCAAGTTTGTTAAAGACGGCCATTATTAGCGACGCTAATTCAAACTTTTATTTTTGTGTTTGAAGTATTGTAGATATACATTCTATACATCAGTGGGCGTGGCAATCTCCACGACGTCACCATCACTCGTATTACGACCAAGCTCTACTTAAAGAACCAGCAACTCGTAGTGGCTACATCCGACGTGTTTGGTTGGGTTGTGGGCAGGAAGGTAGCTATGGACGCTGACGCAGTCGAGGCCACGTTAATGGCGCTAGCTGGGGAGTGTGTCCTCATCCTAATTAGCTGCAATTCGAATCATAGGTGCTCTATCATGATTGATATGACCCAGCGTATTGTCTACATCGGCCATTGATGTAACCAAGCTACCTGAGCAGCGTTCGAGTGGTGGTGGAAAATTTAACTTCAATGCTGGTGAAAAGCACTAGAGAATGGTTTCACGTGTAGACCTACGAATCGGACATGGGGGCCAGCTGGACAAACTACAATACTGGCTTTCTTGTCCTACTTACTTTCGAGCAGTTCACGGTCCTTCTTCGGTCGGTCGAGTGATCAAGAAAGCCTTCGCAATAGAGACCTGAGCTTGTGATTATCCTACAAAAAATGAAGCTAATTAGTATTAAGAAAAGGTGGGGGGGGGGGCAAACTGGCTCATTTTGCCCAGTCGGGTGCCAGTTGGTCCAGTCGGTAGCTATTGCCCCATCTCAGGTCTTTCAGGCTGGTGCTGCGACGCGTGTCTTTTCACATATCTATTTTTAGCTACACCAGTAGCATGCCATGGCAGCATATTTGGCATCAAGCCTAAAAACAGCGTGAAGAAAGTGAAAAGAACTTATTCCGGCGATATATCACTAAACGCATTCTGTTTCAAATATCAGCCATTCTCTAGCTTACGTAAGCTTCATGTGGCACTTCTGGTCAAAACGTAAGCAGATTGGCTTATATTTTCAGGAACCCTTTTATTCCATGCCCAGCAGTCACTAAATTCTTCTATGGAGAGAATCAAGGATCGGGTCTGTCCGTGAATCCGTAAGCGTCGGATGCCTACGAGTACGTGCAGTTTTCATTGGTCAAAATACCGAGCCGAATCTAATCGTACTTGACATCGAAAACGCAACATGAGCGACGAAAGATTGTTAGATACTACATCATTGGAGGCTGATGTCAGGGCTATTCGCGACGCTTGTATTTCGCGAGACACGAGAAAGAAGTACGCGGGTAATATTAACGGGATAAAGAAATGGATTCGACAAGAGCTAGCCAAAGTTGACCCTGGAACAGATCGGTATTTTGACACAAGCGGTGATCTTGACCTTGCCCAGTTCACACCAGCGGTTTTTGAAACGTTTTTGTCGTACAAGCGAGTCCGAGCTCAGTCGGCAACGCTAAGCGGATATCGGAGTGCGATAAAGGACCTTTACCGCTTGAAGCGCATTCCAGTTCCTGTTGAACACGGAGATGACATGAAGCAGCTTTTCTCAGGCATCAAGAGAATGGAGGCTGAACTGAGCCAGAATAGCTCGCCTAAAATTTCAGGCAAGCAGCCGCTGACGTATTCGTTATACAAGTCACTGTGTAAGGCTACACTCAAGCGCAATGATAGTGGATTCTCTCATCTCTTTTTGACTTCACAATGGAATTTAATGTGCCGATCTGTGTCTGTCCAAACGCTACAGACCCTTCTAGTGGACTTAGTGGCAAAAGATGACAGCATCGAAGCTATATTTTACAGGACAAAAACGAATCAAGAAGGTTCCGGGCCGCGTGATCCTCGTCATCTTTACGCAAACCCGATTAGCCCATCGACGTGTTGGGTGACAGCACTAGGAGTTTATTTGGCCTGTAATCCACGATTAGAGCCTGGAGCTTTGTTTCCAGGATCTGACCCAAAGGTTAGATTCGGTAAGGCGTTAAGCAGCCTTCTCGAGAAACAGTGTGCTACTAAATGCTACGGAACCCACTCGGTGAGGAAAGGAGTAGCCACATATGCTTGCGGAGGAAGTACAAGTGGGCCGTCTATTGTAAGTGTGTGCTTAAGGTGCGGCTGGTAGTACAAGATAGACACTTTCGTTACGAGGCGGCTGGTGACCAGTTTTTAGGGCGTGTGGTGGCAGGACTACCTGTACATGACTCCAAATTTGTAGTCTTGCCACCACATTTTGTCAGCAATTCCGGCGCAGTTATCAGGTCAAGCGTAGCTGTTATGTTCCCACGGCTCGCTAACGAGACAAATTTGGCTGGGATTCTGGAGTTGTGTCTTGCATCACTAGTACATCACTCGGAGTTTTTGCTGGATAATCTCCCTATCAACCACCCTCTCTTCTCGTCGGCTATTTTCACGAATCAGACTATTCTCCACGACTTGAGATTACAGCTAGAAAGTGGCGAGTCACAATGAATGAAAGTAACGGGAATACCACCGCATATTAATCTGTACATGAAGTTGGAAATTCAGCAAAAATCGATCGACGCGCTTCCCGGTATGCTAGAGCAGCGGATGGAAGAAGTCCTAGAACGGAAAGGCGTGGCCGCTGGAAATATTACCCGGGACCTTCTTCGAGACGAAATCAGAGCGCTATTACAAGATGTAGGGCTCCAACGTTCACAGCCAGGCGATTCTGCCCAGGTAGCACCAAAACCAACGCGCGTCTGTTATTCCTGGGGCGGGAAATTTCACAATTTGCCGAAAACCTTGAATTTCCGAGCATCGATCCGCTGGGTGCATGGCAACTATGGTGGTTTGGTGATGACCGGCGTGAGTATCCACCCTATCGGACTATTTCATCTGCTGATCTAGATACACCAAAGAAAAAGGCAACGCTTTCAGAATGGTCAATATTCATGAGGCATATTATTAACGGCATTGAGGCAGAGGTAGATGCACCGATGCCAACTATCCGTGACCAAGCCCACTCCATTGAACTGTTTAACATGGGATCCAACACGTTAAAATTGAAGCCAAGCAAACGTAAGCGCCGTAGTACCCAGATAAAGCTTACCACGGTGTTGAGGCTGATTCGCGAAGCTGATAACCTCACACGTACCCTTCCCTATCAGGCACGCAAAAGGTATAAGGCTGCCTGTGACTGCGACAGTAAAGCGTCGAGT